CCCCCCCCCGCCCATTGGGGGCGGGGGGCCCTTCGGGTAATCTAGTTCCTATTATTCTCCAAGAGTGCATTGTGTTTTTGTAGAATGAGATGTTAGACGTACTCACCGCATCGACAGATTACTGCAAGCAAGAAAGTTCCGAGCAGATGGAGCGGGGAGTTTGGGGGTTCAGCAGTTGCTTTGGATTCGATTCGATGGTACCAACTTTGCCGTATAATACAGGATTGAGGGTGGGTGTGTGTGTGTGTCTACAACGGATATGGTGATTGTGGGTTGTGGTTTCTCACTTACTTTTCTTTCCTCTTTTTCCTCCTTCCTGTGTGCAATCAAGTCCTTTTTCCCTGGCTATCACGCTACCACGGCTATCACGCCACGACTTCCACCCCAATCCTGGCTATCACGTCACCCGGCTATCACGCCTTCCGGACATCCACGTCCTTACTTATACATATACACCACGACTATCACGTAACCAGGCTTCCACGCCACATCCAGAGATACCATACCCGAGCTATCACGCTCCATCCCAAAGTAGACGGCTGTCACGCCCATCATAGTTCCTACAATGTATCGTTGGCGGCTACCGCGCCGCTGGCTCTTTTATTTCCCAAGCAAGGGACCCCGCGCGCCAAGGCGCCGACGCACAAAGCTACTCAACATGAGAGATCTGTGCTTTATCGTCAATTTGCACGCTTGCTTGTGATAGGGAACAACTCCGTGTTGACGAAGTTACGCATGTGTCAAAGTTGGTCTTCACTCCAACAATTTTCCACCCTAATAAAATAAGATAAAGATTTTCTCTGTCATGTTGGTGAACCATGACAAATTCGTATTTTATCTAATTTCGCGATGGAGCGTTTCCGGTTTGTGCTTTCCTGCATTTTGGCTCGTGCCATTCGGGTACGCACTATCAGGGTTTTCTCCTCTGTGGGTCGATGTCCTTCTCCCGGTTTGTGCGCTGGGTCTTGCTTCTCCAGGCGGGAGGCCATAATCTCAGTTGCGTTGGTGAAATTCGCAGAGTGGACACATCGAACCTCAGTTTTTATCCTGGAAGCAGGGGCACCGTCATGCATGTCGAAAACCGTCGTTCTTCCAAGTGCAAGCGCCGCAGAAGAACGACTCTCCTTAAGTAGCCAAAACCATCGTCGTCACGTCCACTTGTGAAAAATATGGATCACCCTACGGCACACATATTAATTCAATACCGCAGGTGGGAGTCTTTGCTTCTTCGATGCGAATCCATTTAAGCATGAGCCATCAGCGTATACTACTCCGCCCTTTCACATGTGTGAGAATTGCATTGTAGGGCGTGTTGGTCTTAGACTAATATGAGCAGCCGAAACCCTTACGTTTTGGTTGCTTGTGTTGTACGGCAGATGGCCTTCGACATCGACAAGCTGATCCGTCTGGAGGACGGGCTGAAGACCTTGTGTGAACGTGAAAAATCGCCTGTTAGTCCAGTCGCCAAGGTGAATGTCCTTAAGTACCTTCAAGTACAGGCAGTAAAGCAGTTTCAAGCAGATTACGACGATTTGCACTACGAGCTCAACAAGACGGAAGGACTTGAATGCCTTCGCAGCATCGACCCGGTTCCGTCGAAGGAGCTCTTCCAGCCCAAGGTCTTGGACCAAAAGGACTGCGGTGAGGACGAGCAACTTTACGAACAGTTGCAGTTCTATCTCACGGACGCTGAGCTTGCAAAGCCGCATTTGGACGAGCTCGTCACGAACATATGCACGCGACTCGAACAAATACGAGGTTCAGTGTGCGGACGTCAAGTCATGGGAAAGCACTCGACGGAAGGCCACCAGCGTCCTCGATGGGGACATCCGCAAGGTTGCTGACATGGCTAGGGTGACTGTGATCCTTGCCACACCGGAGGCCTTAGCTATCATGAGATTGCCCAAGGTGAGTAGGTCATGCAAATTTGACAACAACCCGCAATTCTGGGAGTCATGCCGTAGACTACACCTTCGATTGCTGTTTGCTTCGAAATTGGTACTTCAGGCGACTTCGGAAAATCACAATGGCCTCGTTGTGCTGGTTCGTTATTTGTAAAATACTGGCGATAGTTGAGAACGACCGTGATGCTGGGGGGTTGTTGTGGAGGGATTGGTTTTGTGATACTGCTGTAGTGATTCAGATTTGACTTGCTCTACCCTTGTGTTGGTGCCCTAGGCCGTGGTGAGTTCTCCCCTGGGTTCGTACTCCCCTCAACTGGCGAGACGGGACGTTTCTTTCTCCCATTCCCCCACGGAACTAGGAAGCACCACCTCATTTCCGATCCGGACTAGCGGGCGTTCATTCTCCACGTGAGGCAGATTCATTGTGCAGGCTTTGCCATTCACTTCCCGAGATACGCATGCACCCGCGGGAAAGATGCTCGAGTATCAGAAAAACGGTGCGGTGGGGTTGCAACCCGAGACATTCGCTGAAAAAATGCATATCAAGTTGGAGGTCAACACGATGCACCACTATCATAGTTGATTTGAACGCAGTATGTCAACCTACAATTTGGGTTGTACTAGTTGCCCCTCGACAGCACGCCATCATATTTAGAGCCTCTAGACTCTATGATGCGGACCGTACAGACCGTAGCATGGTTTACGGATAGGGCTTCACACCCTCAGTGACATGCAAAACCAGCGCCGGTGGTTTTTGGGGCAGACGGAATGTTGATCAACAAGCCCGGCGGTTGGGCGTGGGTAGACGAGTTTCGACTACTCAATGTGCTCGAGGTGTGGGCTAGAGGTGGAAAAAGCGGCTTGGTGCATACTCGACACAAGCTCGTCATGAGGTCTGTTGCGTGCGCTCGTCCGCAACGCAACATATTTTAAGATTATCGCCCCCTTTTGTGAATCATTTCCTGAACCCCGTTTTTTCCCTGTCCTGGGAGGCTACCTCCAAAGCGCCCCGAAACAACATAAATAAAGCATCTCAATACGCAGTTGCCCCCCAAGCTACCACGCAACATTGTTTGCCACCTCCCGTAGATGAGAGTACAGCAATTCATTCTCATTTTCGACGTTTGACGTGCTTCGGGACATTACCGTGCACGCCCGAGGACCGCCAGGCACCCGTGGCGCGTGAAAACGACGCCTATGGTCGCCGTGTCTGGCTCTTTTTCACGGGGACTATTGGACTCTTCTCTACCCTCCCCTCCTGCGGTACGTTGCTTCCGATTTTTAATGCGAGAAGAGTTCAGCACTCTCTTCCCTCTGTGTACACAAGAACTAGCGCTATCCACTAGACCAGGAGCGAAAGCGAGAGAAAAACTCCCTTTTCAAGAAAGCTCGCTTACGCCGGGATTCAAACCCCTGACCTGACCTCTAGAAGGATACGAGGATACCAGCTAGACCGCGTCTGTCTACCCTTGAGTGGAACGCGCTCCTACGTGTAGGAGCAAGCGCGGAAGAAGTACCTAGCCCACCGATGAGAGGATGCACCGGGCAACCTAGGGCTTGGTTTAGAAGATCTCGCGTTCCCTTTGGAAGAATATCTTGACAGCCTCATTGTCGTGCCCTGCTTCCCACTCTCCCACCAGTTGTTGCCTTAAAGCCCTCTCAAATGTCTCTTCGACGGCACATTTGATAGGGCTTCTAGAGAAGAGACGGCTCAGGTAGGAAGCCAGCTTTGTACTTGCACCCGCGGATTGACTGTTGGCATCATCCAATAAGCAGGCGTCGTTCGCTCTTTCCCATACATACCAGAAATTTCGCAACAGCACCCAATATCTGTGCGTGGTGAGGGGGCTCTCAACTCCCGAAAGTACCGGCAGCATATACCCCCCCGTACCTGCGCCGAGCGCCGCAGATGTGGCTCGTCCGTTCGCCAGCACATCCACCCAAGGTCCGGAATCTGAGGGAGGGCGTCGTCGCGCGTGTCACCAAGGGAAGACAAGTCAGCAGTGGAATAGTTGGTCAGCGAAACGAGCGGGGCTGGCGCGTACTCTCATGTTCTGCATGCCTTAGCGGTTAGACTACGCGTTCTCAAGAGGGCGGAGCAGTGTTCCGACAGCACCGATGAACGATGGCCGATCAATCGTTCCTTCCTACTTTGCCAAAGGTGGCTCAAACATGGTGTCCTGCCAATCTATCCTGTCGATATCACTCTCCGCCTTGGCAACCCACTTCCTACGCCCCAGTGCAGCGGGGGGATACATACATAGACTTCGAATACAAGCATAGGTGCCGCAAACACATACAGAGGTGTTACCAACGACATTCATGCAGTAAAACAGCATACGTTGTGAGGGTGTGATACTCCACGAACCAAATCCGTCGATTTTGCTCGATCTTTTGGACACTCCTAAGCGGAGTGCCTGCGCTGCTCAAACTCGATCTCGTCGCCTCGTACTTGCGTCATGTACGCAACTCCATCGCGACCTCTGCGAATCGTCGTCGAACACCAGCGGCTACATGTACGGCGTGCAGCAAAACACGAAAGGGCTTTTGAGGACATTTTGTTATCCCCATCTTCTTCACCTGCTCTACCTCGCGAAGAATGCCATGGTTGTCTCCTCCTTTGAACAACTGTACTCGGGGGGGGGGGGGGGGGGGGGGGGGGGGGGTTTTTTTTTTTTT